ATATACTGCTAACAAACAAAACTAACCTTTTGTTAAATAAAATGAAAATATATTATTATATCGCATTTTTATTTATCTTAATTTATACAACCTCGCCGCACACATAGTCACAAAGGACATTGTATAGTTTTATTTGATAATATTGAAATAAAGAATAAATAATTAATATTAATAGAGACACTGGTGTAATGATAAAATGAATTTGTATAATGATGACTAAAATTTGTGCAAATTCCATTTTTATTATTATTGACAACTTATTTGCGATTTAAATAATTTAAAAATTTATAATCCGCAGTGATATTTAAATGTTCATTACTGAAGTATTAGCTATTCATTTTCGACGAAAAAAAATGGTAAAGAAATTGTTAATTTGTCACTTTACATGTTATTTAAAATTAGAACGAATTTTTTTTTAATATGAGACAAACACAATTGCCTATCAACATCCACAAAAAACATGGAATGACTTATATCACCTTTTTATTTTTAAATTTAATTTGAATGCTGATTGTATTGTGGTATTCGATGCCAGAGACATATTATGATCAGCCGTGTGAAGTGCTGTAATTGCTTATTATCTACTGTTATTTTTCGGAAATAGTTATTTTTCAAATAAGACCGATAAATGAGCACACAGTTCTGCAAACGGTAGTCAACGGATGCTAATGTGACACAGATTACATAAGCTGTAGCTCATATATACCTTAATTTTTCATCGATTATAAATTAAAATGAAGCTGTTTTGTCACCTTAAGGATTAAGAAGGCATGCCTCGTTACGAGTAAAATATATACTGTATGTGTATATGTATATGTGAGCTACAGCATACTACGTAAGCTGTAGCTCATACATAGCTTAATTTTTCATCGATTATAAATTAAAATGTAGGTGTTTTGTCACCCTTAAGGATTAAGAAGGCATGCCTCGTTACGAGTAAAATGATGTTCAACATCTTTCAAAATAAATAATTCATTTTAAACTGAGTTTAAATAAAAAATAATAATGGCAAAAACTAGTTTAATAAAGCAATAGTACAAATACAAGTCACTACATCAGATTTGATAGACACAAATCCTCGCTAAGGAACATCGATTCCTCACAAGGACGTTTCGCGAGACTATTGAAATCAAAAAACATCCTAATTTTAATAGAGAAGATGGCTGCATGCTACCATCTGCATCTGCTAGGGATCCTATAGTTAATAAAATTTAATCCCAACCCTGGCATACAACTGCAAACTGCAATATTTCAAGATACTATAAGTTTATACTGCGTAGATCGGAACAGAAATTAAAAATTTTGATCTGGAATTAGCCGTGGTTAACTATGACATTAGGACGTCGAACACCTCAGTCCTCCCCGTGACTATGGGTGCTGTAAAGTACTCGAAACGTCGGGAATATAAAATAAGTTAATTTAAGTGATGAAATCCGTAAAAACTAGTTTTATTTAAATGTACTACACATTTAAATAAAACTAGTTCGCGTTAATGAGAAATTATTATAAAAAATATGATTAATTTTTTGATATAAAAATATAATCACCAAAGTGTCCACTGATTATTAAAATAAAACACACGTAAATAAATAAACCGCTTATAAGCGCGATAGAACTGACGCGCACACGTTTCGCGGTTTATGGTTGCACTGAACCTTGTTAATAATTTAAGTGACTTATCGACTGACGTGCCATTGATGATATTAAATCTTAAGCCTGTTTTACTAAAAGAAGCGTTATTCGTATTTTTTTTAAATAAAATTTAACAATGTCTCCCCGTGTGTTGTGCAATACCCTTTGGTATCGTTAGATTCGCAGATGGAAACTGAAACGGAGATGGTCAATGTAATTTATGAGGATGTCTATATTCAACAGTGGAGTTTTATTTTAAAAGCTATTATAAACAATGTCTTCGCGAAGAAAGATGGATGAGAAGTACTATACAAATTTTACCAGTGGTAGAGATACGCAGCAGCCTTTGCTGTTGCACGTATGGGCCGGCTCAAACCAGGGTGGTATCACGACCTCACAGAAGACCAGCCTCAAGTGAGGTTCTGCTTCGGTGTTTCGTTTGGTGAGTGCAGGTGGTTGGAGGCCTAATTCCCCCCCCCCATCAACACTAAAGCGGAATTAAATTTAAGACTACCTCAGGAAGGTGAGCTGAGCATCCACGACCAAGCTACTCCACTCCTGTGCGTTGATGCTAAGGCTGTCCTGTATATTCTGGGGGCAAGTGGAGCAATAAGTCAAAGGAGCCCCCTGCCACACTATCCGTGAATTTCTGCAACATCAGGGGACTTTATTCATACGTTAACGGCGTCCACTACCATCTGGAAATGGCGAAGATAGACTTGCTCTTTTTAACGGAGCCACAGGTGTCCTCATTGCTGATACTTCGTATCTCTCCCGCCCGTGGTACAAATTAGAACACCCATTTGTACCCCTGGCCGGAGATTGCGTGTATGTCAGAATGTACATCTGTTTTCGACGCCTCGGCAGCTTTGAAGGTACGGACCTGTCCATCTTATGGCTTACTAGGCTGCACTAAAAGTATCGGGAATGGAATATTTCCACTGTTCCTGTCATATTAAAATCTTTTTAATTGAAAACTCCTTGGTTTTAAAAATCAAATACCATTTATTTATTTAAAAAAAGATTCTTGGTCTTGTCACAAGGTTTTGCCAAACTTGTTTAGTCGTTGAGAAAAATGGAATTGACTCGAGAAAATTCGAGAGCGATGATTTATTATGACTTTCGAAGTGGTTTAACACAAAAACAGTGTGTTGACTGGATGATTTCTGCATTTGGTGATGAAGCCCCATCCAAAACCACAATTTATCGCTGGTTTGCTGAATTTCAACGTGGACGTGTCAAGCTCAGTGATGATCCCCGTCAAGGTCGTCCAAAAACTGCAGTCATCCAAGAAAACGTTGATGCTGTGCGTAAGATGATTGAGGAAGATCGACATGTGACATACCGCGAAATTCAGGCAACTTTAGACATTGGCATGAGTCAAATACAAATAATGTTGGATGAACAATTAGGTCTAAAAAAGTTGTTCAGTTCCCGATGGATACCGCATTCGCTCTGTGAAGAGCAAAAAGCGGCTCGCGTTACTTGGTGCGTCAGAACTCTCGAAAGATTCCACGCAGGATCCTCAAATGCTGTATACAATATCGTATCGGGGAGACAAAAAACGGTTAATGCAGAATGGTATGCTAGCATTTGTTTGCCACAGGTCGCTGCTAAATTATGTGACGTGATTTCGTTGCCAATAAGAAACGCGCCCCACCGAGATGGAAGTGGTAGAGATGGCCGACCAATAAAAGATATTTCGATCCCGATATGAAGGGCAACATAGTCACCCTATAACTATTTAGTGACCATCCGTTCCGGATTCGTACTCAGGAACCATTAGCGTCACTATTAATGAGCTTCCCGTGAAATTGTGTAATTGGATCACCAGTTTTCTTGCTGATCAGAGCTTTAAGGTCGTAGTAGACGGTGCATGTTCCGATTACAAGTTCATTAACGCTGGTGTTCCACAAGGTTGCGTGCTATCACCAACGCTGTTTCTTCTGCATATCAATGGCATGTTACAAATCAGTAACATTCATTACTATGCAGATGACAGTACTGGTGATGTATAATACACCGATCGTGCAAATATTTCTCGGGAAAATATGTAACGGGATAATTTTGTGTCTGAAGTCGAGACTTTGCTGAACATAGTCTCGGACTGGTGGCGACTAAGCCTAGTACAATTTAATCCGCAACAATAAAATTTATCCAAGACACAAGTTTGCGCGTTTACTGCTAAAAAGAACCCCTTCGTCGTATCTCCTCAGTTTCAAGGCACTCCCCTTGTTGCCTCAGCCAGTATCGTAATACTGCAATTTCGTGCTCACTTGGAAGAGAACGCCAAATTGGCCTCTAAAATTCTTGGCGTGCTCAGCAGAGAGGGACAGTATTTCATGCCGGCTCACCGGCTGCAACTTTACAAGGCGCAGGTTCGGCCGCACATGCAATACCGTCCCAATGTCAGGGCTGGGTATCCCCAGTGCCAGCTCTTTCCATTTGATCGCATCCAGCGCAGAACTGTTCGAATAGTCGGCGACCGAGCTCTTTCCGATCAGTTTGACTGACTGGCACTGCGAAGAGATGTTGCATCTTATTGCATATTGTGAAAAATTTTGCTGATAACTGAGATCTGAAGACTAATTGGTAAATCGACGATCGATTAATTACAATTAAGAATTTCGGGATCAAAATCTGAGTGTTCGCATACTATGAAATTTAAGACAACACCTGAGTCACCGCTCAGTCATCGTCATCACATTTCATCTAAGTCCATAAAATAGATCTTTTTAAATGCTATGTTGTGCAATTTACATTATTTTTACCTTATGAAAGAAGTGAGGAATGATGGGGTTGTCTGACACGTTCGTTGCTACATGATTGGAGTCTTTATATAATAATAAAGATATTAATAGTTATATTGCAACCATCCGCTAAATTAAATAAAATTATGTGTCTTCCTTAGTTTGAAGAGCACCTCCCGCCTTCCCTCAATTGCGTGCACTAATCCTGTCACCACCAATCCCAGCACCACTATTCCTAATACCACTACTCCCTACACCACTATTCTAGGAAAGACACACCATCGACTATAATACGACACGTGTTTCGCCTCTAGACGAGGCATCCTCAGGTGATGTAGACTATACGGCGGCTGACCGCTAAGCGCTAAGACTTAGCGGTCAGCCGCAGCATCATTTTATTTAATTTAGCGGATGGTTGCAAAATAACTATTAATATCTTTACTATAATGGATTTCCGCAAAGTGACGCCTGATTCTATCAATTATCTTTATATAATAGTAAACGTATAATTATTCAAATTAATGGTAGGTAAATAATTAAACTCGATATCTATTAAATTATTTGTAAGTTTATCACATATTCTTAGGTTCATAACACACTAAATCTACGTTTATCGGATCAATCTAAGTTTTGAAACGCGATATTATCACAACCGATGTTCTGTAATTCTTGATTCTTCTCTTCTAACTTCTTCTCTTCTAACTTCTTCTTCGCTTTTCTATCTCTGTATTCCACAACGAAGTAGAGAGAGACTCCTATTATCATCAACACAATGAGTAAGTAAGTCTTAGTACTGGTTCTCAAATGTGGGGATATGATGTATGCAACAATATATCCCACAGATTTCCATAGCCTAAAGTTTGCAAACGCTGCTTCTTCTCTTCCCGGGAACAAAATTCCGAACAATGCTGAAAAAAAGAAAAAAATCTAAGAACACGCGAATATAAAATGTCTTCCGGGCCCAAAACGTTTGACTCTTTTTCCTGGCCGATTTTCGACCACGGCTACCACCTGAACTCACTTAATGGTGAGTAATGGTAAGCTGCAATATTGTGCTGGTATATTGTGTTATTTTAGTCTATCATCTAAATCATCATCATCATCACTCCCCCACTGGAGAGATGATTAAAAGGACTAAGGATGGTTGCCACAGTTGCCACGGTTGGCACTACATAGAAAAACATAGAATTTGTTAATAAATATACAGGGTTATTTTGCCATACGTAGGACACTCAATAAGTTTTGAGATATACAAAAAGTATTCTAGATACTATTAATATTTATTTTACATCTTTTCAAAATATTCTCTATCATGCTCTATACAAAGTTCCATTCGCCTAAACCATCTCTGAAAACACTTTTGGCAGTCTTGATCTGACAGGTCGGAAATCGCTTCTTCGTAGGCAGTCACGGCTTTTTCGGCGCTTGAAAAATACTTGCTTTTTATTTTTTCTTTCACTCTTGGGAACAAAAGGAAATCACAAGGAGCTAAGTTAGGGATGCAGGGTGACTTAGGGTTTAAACACCAGATTCCTCCATGAATGCTTTTGTTCTAAAGAAGGTATGTGAAGAGGCGTTATCGTGATGCAGAATGATTCCCCAAAGCCGGGTCTTTGGTCTTCTCTCCCGTACAGCTTGAAACGTGTTAAGTACTGTAGTATACCATTCAGGGTTGACTGACCTACAATTTTCCAGCATTGACGTCGACAAAATGTCCGCTCCGCGAATAAGAAACTAGCTATCATTTTTTGCCGACGTTGCGAGGTCTTTACAGTTTTGTCGGTAACTGTCCTTCTGCCATACTGATCATCTACCCTTCGATTGCCTTTTACTTTTCGGATCATATTGATAGATCCATGTTTCATCACCAGTAACGATTTCTGAAACACCGCTTAGATGCCCCGTTTTCAAAACGTAGACGCATTTATTGACACCAATCCACACGAGTCTGTTTTTCGCTTTCGGAGAGCAAACGAGGGATCCATCGACAACAAAGCTTCCTCACTCCAAGATGTTGATGTAGGATGGTATGAATGCTCTCCAAATTATGTAATATGTGATTCGTGTGTCTTCTCGCATCAACGTTTCAGTAGTACATACATTTTCTGTTAACCGTTGTAAACTTAATTGTTCGGTTAAATCGAATTTAAAATCATAATTGATCGTAGCGCGCAAATGTTTACGGTTAAGATCCATCGTTTTAAATGATAAGCGCGGGAAGCATTGCAAAAATATTAATAGAACTTTTTTTAAATATTGAACAATTGGCTTATGGAGTTCTATTTTTAAATAAATTTGCTTTTTAGAGACATATACCACGGGTGCGTTCCATTTTTAAATTTCGAGCATCTCAAAACTTATTGAGTGACCTACGTATACGGCCAAATTAGCATTTGTTTCAAAATAAGTAATATAGGTGAATGGTGAAGAACATTTAACTACTTAAAAAAATCTCAAAAATGTTCTGTCACAGTAGGCAAAAACTTGAGAAACGAAAACGTGAATTTGATCGCACACTAAGGAGTTGTTGCCCATAAATCACATTAAATTCGGGATAATTTAAAATAAAAGTAGAAGCTTTATTTACTCGTGTTTTTAAAACTTTATAAGGTATTGCGAGGTGAACGTTCAAGTTGACTGTATTAGCGTGGTGCAAAAGGAACCAAAACAAAATGGCGGACGTGGCACGAGGCGGACTTTGGACAATATAATTGTTATGAAATTAATTTAATGCGTTGGCTGGCACGACGGGATATGAGCTGATGAGGATAAATCCACAACAAATAAAACAGCTCATAAATAAGAATGGACACTTACCTGGGGGAAGCGGTGAGCGGCCTCTCTCTACGGCCTTGCGGACACGACGAAAATGTATTGCACTGGGGTTAACTGTTTGATTGCCATTGCTTGACTGACTAACAATGTGCTCGTACGCGCTACGTAGCACACGAGCAGTGCACCGCTGCACTGCTCGTGTGCTACGTAGCACGTCTTTCATTACACCTTGTCGGAGCGCGCCTCCCATTGGAGGAACAAAGATGCGTCCACCGATATTTTGCTCTCCCATTAGGCATGCCCGTGCGGGAAAGGAAAGTAAGTGAGGAGATGTTGTGCCGGCCAACTCAACTAACAAACATCAACAAATACGAAATACAAGGGTGTGCGTTGGCTAACATAACCTAGAAAAGCAATTTGAAAACTATAGAATAGACACTCAGACTATGTATAGAGACTCACACTGTCTCTCTCTCTCTCTCTCTCTCTCTCTCTCAGACGAGAGTCTGAGTCTCTATACATAGATAGTCTGAGAGTGTGTGTGTTTATGTGTGTGCGGGTGTGGTAAAATGTAATAGTCTTGTAGGTTTAGATTTGTGTGTGCATTAATGATACGTAATTTTATTGAGTAGGTGTGCAGTACTGTCTATGTGGTGTTTCTTTCCCCGCACTAAAAGAGACAGAATTTTTTGTTCGTAGCATTAGGCGCATTACTCGTCCATTGGGTTGAATGGTCTAAGAGCGGAACCAGCAATAACATAACCTAAAACGATTTCCAATACGTAAGGTGCGATATACGAGGGGTTACCCTTAACCTTGTTATATGACAAGAGGTGAGGGAAAATAAATGCCCCAATGAGTATATCAATGTTCCCAGCGACGCTCGGTCACTTTGTCTACAACCAATGAATGTAACTAATTTGTAATGAATTTATACTAAAATTAACGCTGCTATCTAAACGCGAATAAAATTTTAAATGTATCTAACCTCGGACTATTAAATTGAAGCCTTCAATTCCCTTCACGTGACGTAAAGGCATCCTATTTGCAAATAATCCTAAACGTTGACAACATTGATGCATTATAAAATTACTTTGCGACGCACTATCTAACAATGCACGAACGTTAAACTATAATGTGCGCGGCACCAAGAAGGACAGTAGTGGGAACGCGATGAATCTCTTTCACGTTCGACAGTGAGCACAAAGTAACGTCGCCTGAGCGCGTGTGCAACGATGCCAATCGGGAGATATCGATACGATTCGACTCCATTGTAGTTAAGATGTTCGCGTCGGTTTGGGTGAGCGGAGCGTCACTCACAGGTTCGTACGATGTGGATGCGGCATTATTTTCAAAATGTAGCATCATATGATGTCTGCTGGGACACTTTGATACACTGAACTAGAATTACAATTAGAACGAGATGTTTGTTACTCAAACAATTTAAGCATAAGTTGTTAGCCTTAACTATTTTATAGCGTTCGCTCGGTGAGCGCTTGCGAAAATTTGCACAATTATATAAATTACCATGTACCATGTTTTACATTAAAAACAGGCATTGTGCGAAAATGTAAGTGCTGTGTTCACATATGGTTTCATGATTTCGTTGGCTTCGATGGTGCATCCATTCGGCGGTCGGCGTATTTTTTACTTCTTGTTTTGTATTAGATGAACATTGTATTATTTTCTAAGGCGTCGCTAAGGCGTCGAACGATGGTATGACGGGGCCATGATTTTCCATTTCGAACGAATGTACGGTGTCCGTGTCTAGCTTTAACGCAATGTGTAAGAGTACAAAGTCCACAAGATCATTAAATTTTAAATTTTTGTTACATGCTGTTAAAACGGGTTGCTACCCCGAACGAGTCGATCCTTTCGTGTTACATACATACGAGTATAAATCGTAATAATATATAGGTATTTCAAAGCCGATCCTTTCGTGTTACATACGAGAATAAATCGTAATAATATATAGGTACTCCAAAGCCGATCCTTTCGTGTTACATACGAGTATAAATCGTAATAATATATAGGTACTCCAAAGCCGATCCTTTCGTGTTACATACGAGTATAAATCGTAATAATATATAGGTACTCCAAAGCTGATCCTTTCGTGTTACATACGAGTATAAATCGTAAAAATATATAGGTACTCCATAGCCGATCCTTTCGTGTTACATACGAGTATAAATCGTAATAATATATAGGTACTCCAAAGCCGATTCTTTCGTGTTACATACGAGTATAAATCGTAATAATATATAGGTACTCCAAAGCCGATCCTTTCGTGTTACATACGAGTATAAATAGTAATAATATACAGGTACTCCAAAGCCGATCCTTTCGTGTTACATACGAGTATAAATCGTAATAATATATAGGTACTCCAAAGCCGATCCTTTCGTGTTACATACGAGGATAAATCGTAATAATATATAGGTACTCCAAAGTCGATCCTTTCGTGTTACATACGAGTATAAATCGTAATAATATATAGGTACTCCAAAGCCGATCCTTTCGTGTTACATACGAGTATAAATCGTAATAATATATAGGTACTCCAAAGCCGATCCTTTCATGTTACATACGAGTATAAATAGTAATAATATATAGGTACTCCAAAGTCGATCCTTTCGTGTTACATACGAGTATAAATCGTAATAATATATAGGTACTCCAAAGCCGATTCTTTCGTGTTACATACGAGTATAAATCGTAATAATATATAGGTACTCCAAAGCCGATCCTTTCGTGTTACATACGAGTATAAATCGTAATAATATATAGGTACTCCAAAGCCGATCCTTTCGTGTTACATACGAGTATAAATCGTAATAATATATAGGTACTCCAAAGCCGATCCTTTCGTGTTACATACGAGTATAAATAGTAATAATATATAGGTACTCCAAAGCCGATCCTTTCGTGTTACATACGAGTATAAATAGTAATAATATATAGGTACTCCAAAGCCGATCCTTTCGTGTTACATACGTATAAATCGTAATAATATATACTATAAACTCCAAAGTCATCTTAATACAATTTTGCTCGACTTAAGAATAATCTATGAGTAATTGTAATTAATATACGGTTACTGAACCATACCGAGATGATCAAATTCAACCCACTAGCTTGGTAAGAGAAAGGGCGTGAGTAGACCCAAATTTTATGAGGGTTCTGTTTGTGATTAACATCAATTAAATTTATTTTATACAAATGAAGAACAAACAGTGGTATTACTTACAATTAATTTGCACTATCCACAAAGCGTCACACAGACCCCACAGTGCGGCTATCAAGTAGAATGCGTACGCTTCGTTGTGATGCGGTCTCCATATTAGGATAGCCATGACGAGTCCAGTCTGGATTATAGCAGCTGTACACAACAGGGGTAAACGGCCGGTAATCTGCATAATTGAGTTATTTAAAAGAAATATAAACCTACCACAATTAGCATGATCTCTGTGAAATTCACTGGGGACCATCGCTAAAGCTTAATCTACGAGTATCTGTTTTAGAAAAACAAATAAAGATAGACAGAGCACTACCGACATTTCAAGTGATGATGTAATTAAGCTGAAACCATGCTCAATTCATTGTAAGAACAGGCACTATTTGCAACCAACAACATAGTTTTATTACATATGTGTGCGTCCAGCAATATTTTATTACGGGCTGATACAGATAGAAAGAAGGAAGATGTGTACGTGAGTTCGTATCAAGAAGTTGTGTACGATTTCGGCGTCACTTGAAGTGTACGTAGTAATCTGTCTATCGTTTAAGGCTGGTCTGAGTTGTCGGTAAATAAAAAAAGGCTGTTGCTAATATATAACTATACATACGGTAATCGTATAAATAAAAACAATCTTATTCGTCCGACAATTTTAAGAATTAAAAGGTTCAATTCTTTCAATATTACATTGCATGCCTTAAGCGTAAAGCGCGTAGGTATGTTCTACTAGTGCCTAAAACCAAGAATCCAAAGTTTTATCGTATCTAATAATTATATTGAACATATAAATGATAAAGTGCAAAGGCCCGCTTATGCACATGGCCTCACCATGAAATGGCGCCGGGTCTGGGCGTCTCCCGCAAAAATGGATGATGGAATTAAATAGAACGCGCAAAGGGCCGCTACCTGGAGGTCGCCAGGGCGCTGCGAACCGCCAGCCGAGCGCGAGGTGCTGCACGACCACCCAGCAGCCCCTCGCATCCATCATCCCCACCAACTGGCTTGGTGTCGGCAGGGTCTTCGCGAACCCAGCTATCGGCACCCGCCACTGGTGGAGTACGCCGCATGCGTTGGACAACCCAGATGAACAGCAACGCATTGCGGGCATATTTTAGGGCGAAAGGGGGAGAAACTAGAGGTTTTGCGTATCGGGCAAGGATGCATGGACTTTTTGCTGAGCTGGAGCCATCTGTAACCGTCACCGAGCAAAACCTGTCAGACCGAGATCGGTATATCTTGCGCTCAAATACATTTGATGTCACCAAACTCGAACGGCTACGACATGGGGCTGTTCCTTCATCGGGTGAAAATGCTGCTGAGGATGCGGCGCCACAACTTGCTGAGCAAATGGCAAATGTGGATGCCGCCGTGAATACGCCAGTTGTGGTTGATTCAAACGATGATGGAACAGTCGCCCAGGAACTGGAACTAGAGCAAATGAGGAGTACATTGGAAGAGGCGATTGTAGAAACGCGCAGTATGCCTCTCGAAAATCGACCGCGACTTCCCCGCTTAGCCCTAAGGAAGCGGAATCGGGTTGTCGTGAGGGCTCTGAACCCAATGCTGGTTACCTATTTGGAAGTCAGCCGGGACCTTTGCGAGACGGACTCAATTCTTTTTGGCGCCGCACTGGCAGTCTGCTGTATTATAGGCGCCAAACTTTCCACGGCTGGACGCGCTACTGGACAAAGTAGTGCTATCCCAGCCTGGAGAATAAGAATTGAAGAACGTATCGCAAAGGCTGGGGCCCTCATCGGCAGACTGATATGCTTCAGGTCAGGCAATACCAGGCCAAGGACTGTGCGCACCGTCAGGATGGCGTTTGCTGGGACAAATGTTAGTTTGTCCCTGCCGGATTAATGCAAAAACTGACGGAGCGCATAGACGACCTGAAGCAAAGAATCGCTGCTTGGGGAGAGATTCGGCGATATACCGAGAGGTCGGCACGGTTCAACCAGAATCGTCTCTTCCAGAGTGATCAGAAGAGGCTCTATAAATCATTGGAGCGACCAATAGTAAGTGGAACGGGCCCAGCACCAAATCAGGCCGACACGGTGGCATTCTGGCGCAGCCTGTGGTCAGAGCCCGTAAACCACAACGAAGGCCCTTGGACGGAAGTTGTGACGAGTCAGTGTGCGGGTATTACGCCCATGGACCCCGTCATCATAACGCCGGATGACGTAGCTGAGGCGGTCCGTAGGGCCCCGAACTAGAAAAGTCCTGGGCTTGACGGGCTGCATCACTACTGGCTGAAGGGGTTCATGGTGTGTCACGCTGTGCTCGCCCGACAGTTTCAAGAGGCTCTCAACCAGAAGTCGCTCCCAAGTCTCTTCACTACTGGGATCACTCATTGCCACTCATTGCTCAGTGCCACAGACCCGAGAAAATACCGCCCCATCACGTGTCTACCGACCATATACAAGACACTAACATCCATTTTGAGCGCGAGAATCACTCGTCACCTGGACTCAAATCAGGTGATGTCGCGCGCTCAAAATGGATGTCGGGGCGGCGGTCGTGGAACCAAGGAACCACTCCTCATTGACGCGATCATTGGCAAAGTGGTGAAACGCAACCGTCGGAACTTCTCCGCCGCCTGGATAGATTACAGAAAGGCATTTGACTCGGTGCCCCATACATGGCTAAAGAAGGTCCTCGAGCTGTACAAGATTGACTGTACAGTTCGAGCCTTCCTCGAGCAGTGTATGGGGCAGTGGAGTACGATCCTCTGTCATCTAGGCGAACGGATGACGGCTGCGGAAAGCCGCATAAGGATAAGAAGGGGTATATTCCAGGGCGACTGTCTGAATCCAATCTGGTTCTGCCTCTCTTTGAACCCTCTCAGTACTTTACTGGAGGGCTCCGGGATGGGATTTCAGCTTCGGAAAGGAGGTACAAAAGTGACCCACCTTTTCTATATGGATAACATCAAATTATTCGCCTCCAGTCGCTCCTTTCTTATGGAATTGCTAAACATCACTTGTGAATTTAGCAATTCTATTAGAATGGAGCTGGGGACGGATAAGTGTGCGGTGCTCTATGTTGAAAGGGGAAGGGTTGCTAACTCTGAGGGTATAGACTTATCTATGCCCGTCAACTTAAGGGCCCTTTCCGAGGCTGATACCGATACCTGGGTATGTCACAGAACATCGGTATCGATGAGGCTGGTATGAAACAGTCAGTTTGCGATGTGTTTTATGCACGCTTGACCAAAGTGCTTAACAGCCTTTTGTCCGGTGCGAATAAGACACATGCATATAACGGTTGGGTCATGCCTGTCCTCATGTATACCTTTGGCATACTCAGGTAGTGGACTACTTAACGCCCTGGATAGAAAAGTCCGCACTACAATGACGTCCCATAGGATGCATCATCCGAGACCGTCGGTAATGAGGCTGTACTTGCCGCGAAAGCATGGTGGACGTGGCTTCCTGAGCGTGCTCACCATGCATAATCGCGAAGTGTGCAGCCTCCGTCATTACTTCCTGGCGAGATCGGATGATCCATTCTATAATGACGTCATTTCTAGTGATAAAGGACTTACCCTCTATCCTTAGCCAATGAGCAATGGCAAGATCCGGCAGTACAGAGCATTTCCGACCGAGAGACCGTATGGAAGGAGAAGGAGCTCCACGGGAGGCACTACAGGGCTCTACATGAGCCTCACGTAGATACAGCCGCCTCCCCTAACTGGCTACGTTTCGGTGACCTCTTCGGGGAAACCGAGGGTTTTGTCTGTGCAATACAGGATCAGGTTATTAAGATCAAAAACTTTCGGAGATACATCCTAAAGGATGGTACTGTCGACGTCTGTCGAGCTTGTCGCCATCCCGGGGAGTCACTTAGGCATGTCATCTCCGGTTGTTCGGCGCTTTCTAACTCTGAGTACTTGCACAGGCACAACCTAGTAGCCAGAATTCTACACCAGGAGCTCGCTCTAAAATACGGTCTCGTGGACCGAAAATTGCCGTATTACAAGTACTTGCCGGAAGCCGTGCTCGAAAATGACCGCGCCAGGCTCTATTGGGACCGGGCCATCATCACAGACAAGACTATTATTGCGAATAAGCCTGATATTGTGCTGATGGACTGGGCACAGTCAAGGATATTTTTGATCGTCATTACCATTCCGTATGACGTGAACCTGGTGAAAGCCAAAACAGATAAACGAACAAAATATCTGGACCTGGCTCACGAGGTGACCGACATGTGGGGTGGTATGCCGACCGAAATTATTCCTGTAGTCGTCTCTGCGAATGGGCTAATCCCAGTCAGTCTCTCGGGTCATCTGAGGCGACTGGGACTCCGTGACGGACCGCTCCGGGCTCAAATGCAGAAGGCGGTGCTCCTCGATACCGCCCGCATCGTCCGCCGGTTTCTTTCCCTTTCCCCCTAACCCTCGGCCGTTTGGTCTCCCTTGCCGAGGGCTTCTGTTGGATCTTATTTATTTATGTAGTTTTTGTATTTATTTTATGTTATTGATATTTATGTATATTTATCTTAATTATATATTTATAGAACCCAACCAGGTGAGAAAATTATATACTCGTAGATACCACAATAATAATATAATATTATTTTGTATTTATTTTATTTTATTGATATTTATGTATATCTTTTCATTTTAATTTATAATTTTTATATATTTAAATATTTATAGTACCGAGAACCAGAGGAGAAAATTATATGGATCCCCCCCCAGGATATAATCGGAATCTCGGAAACGGCTCCAACGATTTTAGCGACGAACGCTTGGATTTATTTTCAGAAAATGTCCTTTTGTCCGTGTTTTCAGGCAATAAAAAACTGCTACAATATAAGAAGGTAAATTTCGACAAATCACTAACGATCGTTATAGCTCAGGTGGCATGTCGGTCGGGCATGAAATCGAAGTTCCGTGGTTCGCGTCCTGGCTGTGGTCCGGCTTTTTTTCCTTTTTTTGTGAGAAAATCTATTATTTCAAACCCCTTTTTTTAGTAATTTTTAAAAATACGAAAATTTTAATAAAACGAATTGCACTCATGATTTTTTATTCAAATTATCAGTTCAGTTTTTTCTATTCTGTCAATAATATCAAAAATATTATTTAAGTTTCATCAGTATGTAATTTATAAATTTAATTTCAAAAAAAAAAAACGAGCAAATCGCGGTCATCCGGGTACTATATATATATATATATATATATACATAACCACTTATATATATGCGTATGTATGCACATATGTGTTGCACATTTAATAGCTGCAGCTGTTTGTTTATAATTTAAGGAAGTTAAAAAAATTGTAATCAATTTCTTACATTCAAGATAATAAAATTGACTTTATATTTTATTTTGTTCTATTTATTACTAATCACAAATAATCACAATATCTCATTAGTTATTGTAACTGGGTAAAAAATATCTATTTGGTTACTAATGCTATATTTATTATTTTAATAATTACCTACCCAGTAGGTAAATATTAAAATAATAAATGTAGCATTATAAACAGTAAATCTCCGTCAAAACTAATATTGTTCCTAAATAAGGAATAGCAGATAAATATTAGTAATAACTGTTGCTCCTCAAAATTATATTTGACCTCAAGGTAAAACATATCCTAAATTTCTGTATCTAAATAAAATAATAATACCTACTATTCAAGTATATTTTCAATATGTAAGTAAATGAAAATAACAAAAATGAAGCACCATTAGCATGTAAAGTTCGAATCCATAATTAACATTTCGACAAATATTATAATTTACACTATAAAAAGCTAATTCAATATTAGCAGTATAGTATATAGTTAAAAATAATCAAAATAGTCATTTTTATTAATTAGATAATATATTAGAATACATAATTCTAATATAATGCAACTAATATACCGAATAAAGAAAATTAAAATACATTTATCATTGTACGCCGTGTCTATTTCCATAAAATAGTTCATTGAGGTTGAAACAATAATACTACGTTCGTAGCAGTAGGTGGCGTCTTGCATATTTGATTTGATTTGACCGAACGCTCAAGGTCGTTCGCTAGAGGTATCGCCTTAACTATATAGTTGCTCCGCGTCGTGCGCCATTCCGAAGTGATCGTGCCAGTAAATCAAGCTCCGACAAAATGCCGAATTGCAGTGTATTTACGTAAAAAAAAAAACAATCAAAAACCTCAAATATGCAAAAGAACAACGTGACTTTTCATCTGTGATTATTTTTAACATAATATTAAAGTAATATTATCATTAAAACTCGTACTTTCTGAGTATTTTCGTCCAATACCAAGTGTGGCCATCATAGTTTATAAAGTTAAAAATAATCTATTTTTAATTATATATAATTTACTACACAAGTTAAATATTTTAACGAAATATATTTCCTAATAACTAAATCAGTTTGTGATGAATAATGATCATTACATATAGACGTGTAGTGGATTTTGTTAAATGATATATATAATATATAAAAATCAGCTCGTATTTATCAAAATCTTATACAAAATAAAGGCCAAATAAGTCAAATCGAAACTTGCTACCTCTCAGCAAAAGTGTGCAATTTTAATGGGTTCGCACAGATGATTTCTGGTTCTCGATAACAGCGCTACCTACAAGGTCCAATTGTGAATTTAACCGTTCAGAGACCCACTCAAAAATTTTTATCAAAATCGGTGCGTTCAGTTAGGAAGAGTTCAGTAACAATCACACAAAAAAAAAAGAATTATAAAAATAAAGATAACAATCCCTAATTTTATTTACATCTGTTTCTGTTTCTGTTAAAATTGAAGTCACCAACGAACTGATAATAAGTGGCTACTGCCAGTCCATAGATATCTGAACCTCCTTAAAACAAAAAAGGCCACAGATGCGTTGTCACCCCTGAGGACTAATAAAGAATGCATCACCTTCTGTAATTATTTTGGCCATCCATATACTTAAGATCAGAACATCAGTTTACACACCGTTGCTTGGAGGCAAAAATTGCCAAGAAGTTAATATATTTCAAATACCTTCGCTAAGTATCCTGAGACAGCGCATCCAATTGCGTCTGCAACCCCGTACGTCATCATCACGAAGCCAATTGTGCCAGTGCCGATGGCGCAAGAAACGAAGGCCTAAGAAAGTATATATTTTTGTCAAATTTATAAAATATAAAAAGCAAAATAAAACAGATTTCATAAGGTATTCAATTTAGTTTTATTATATTTTCCTTCGACTTTTCTAATATTGTATATTTATTGGAAAATCCTAGGACTAGGAACCTACATTGACCAGTGGTCATTAACAACGCAAACGAGAGTTTTGTGTTGAGGGTGTGAGGGCCGAGAACGTAACCTTAGTCTCTCTATTGCTTTGCTAGCCCCGTTCAACTGTCAAAATAATATGTCAACCCGATAGAAGGCGACCGCCGAAGCCACGTTCCTATATTGTACTGATGGTTTATTTAAAAATGTGGATATGATAATTCAGTGCCATTTTCTTCTTATTTCTTAACAGCCTATCAAAAGGCTACCGCTGAACATAGGTGTTTCCCCATATTGAATCATAAAAGGGGTTTTGCTATGGTTACCACACATGGCAAATGTTTTTTTTTATAGAAGAGGGGGCAAAAGTATGCGGCTCACCTGATGTTAAGTGACTACCGCCGCCCATGATCAACCGCAACTCCAGGGGAATTGCAGGTGCGTTGCCGGCCCTTTAGGAAAGAGTAAGCTCTTTTCTTGAAGGTCCCCGGGTCCCAGGTCGTATCGGTCCGGAAAAATCGCCGATGGTAAACTATTCCACAGTGAGGTCATACGCGGAAGAAAACTCCTTCTGAAACCTACAGCGGTGGACTGCCAAGCATCCAGATGCTGTTGATAGTATCGGGACGTTTGCCGCGTAGTGCGTTCACGAAATTTGGCGGCTGGGATTAATCCGAACAATTCCTCAGAGCACTCACCATGGTATATGCGAAAGAAAATGCAAAGAGATGCAAAATCTCTTCGCAACGCCAGTAAATCGAGCCGATCGGAAAGCACTCAGTCGTCGACGATTCGAGCCGCTCTGCGCTGGATGCGGTCAAGTGGAAGGAGCTGGTACTGGGGAGCTCCAGCCCAGAGATGGGAACAGTATTCCATGTGCGGTCGGACCTGCATCTTGTAAAGTTGCAGGCAGTGTGCCGGCATGAAATACTGTCCCGCTCCAATTTAGCCTTCTCTTCCAAGTCACCAAGAAACTGCACGTCACTCGATATGTCGCCTTGCCTTGAAACTGAGGAGATACGACAAAGACAAAGACAAAGGGACAAAGGGTTCTTTTTAGCGGTTAACGCGCAAACTTGTGTCTTCTGAGGGTTAAACTGGACCAGATTTAGTCACCCCCAATCCGAGACTCTGTTCAGCAAAGACTCGACTTCAGACACAAGTTTGTCCCGGTACTCGGAGACGTTTTCCCGAGAAATATTGGCGCGGCTGGTGTACAGAAAATCACCAGTGCTGTCATCTGCATAGCAATGAATGTTATGGGTTTGCAACATATCATTAATATGCAGAAGAAACAGCTTTGGTGGTAGCACGCAGACTTGTAGAACACCAGCATTAATAGGCTTGTTATCGGAGCATACACCGTCTACAGAGACCTTAATGCTCCGATCTGCAAGAAAGCTGGTGATCCAATTGCATAATTTCTCGGGAAGCCTTCTTTCGAAGGTAGCTTCGAAAGAAGCGCTTTATGCCAAACCCAATCGAAGGCCTTCGCAATGTCCAAACTAACGGCCAATACCTCCCCCTTGGACTCTACCGCCTCAGTCCGTCTCATCATAAGTTGTGTAGAAGATCACTAGCTGATCGACCATGGCGAAAACCGTATTGGCGATCACTAATCAGCTGGTGATCCTCAAGGTACCTCATGAGCTGGCAGTTTACAATGGACTTCATTGTTTTGGAGAACAAGGAGGTGATGGCGATAGGCCGGTAGTGTGAGCGGGTCTGAGCAGTCGCCTTTTTTAGGGATCGGGCGGACAAAAGCCGTCTTCCATGATTTTGGAACTATGCCTAGGAAGTAGGAGTACCGGAAAAGACGCGTTAAAACCTATGCCAACTTTGGAGGGATTCCGTCAGGCCCACTCGACTTGAGGATGTCCAGGGAGAGGAGTGCTTTGCGAACCGAGAGCTGTGTGAACTGCACTTCCGGCATGGAGCACTCACACCGCGGGATGGTCGGCGGTGTACTCCCCCCGTCATCGAGAGTCGAGTCGGACACAAAGAAAGAGCCTAGCAGATCGGCTTTCTCCTTTGCGGTATGGGCCAGTGAGTCGTCCTCCCTGTGCAGAGATGGAAGAGATGGCTGACAGAAATTCCCTTGGACAGCCTTGGCGAGAGGTCAGAATGCACGGGTTCCAGAAGGAAGGAGAACTAGTTTCTCGCCAATTCTGAATCGCAATGACTCTTTTGAAGGATCTGGAGGCGGAATTATACTTCTTTTTTAGAGCGCTGGTGTTGACATCCCGGGACGTTGATGCGTCAGCCCAGGCTTGGTAGCACTCCTGCTTATAGATGCTATTTTACAGGAGTGACGAAACCATGGCTGAGATTTGCATCCGATGGGCACCACAGAGGAAGGAATAAAAAGTTCCATACCCTGAAGTACCACATCAGCGACAGAATCCACAACAACGTAGGGATAATCCGGCGAAAAGCAAACCCAACGGTAGTACCCAAGGGTAGGATGCAAAGAAAGACCGCATCCTATCCCAATCGGCTGACCTATAGTGCCAAACACGGTGGCAGCCTGCAGAATGCAACTGCGATTTCAGCGTGAGTGACACCACACTCCGGACAAGACAATGGTCCGAAAAGCCTAAAGGGGCGTCGACGGAAATCTGATATCCGTCCGGATGAGAGTTCAGCAGAAGGACCATCAGGGAAAGTGCATGATCCTCCACATCTGGAATCCGCGTGGGCGAAGTAACCAGTTGTGTCAGACCATGTGCTAGGGCAAAGTAATAAACAGATCTCCCCGCATGATCAGTTAAACGTGAATCAAGCCATTTGGCGTGATGGGCGTTAAAGTTGCCGAGGATAACGATCTCTGTGGATGGGATCTGCTGTAGCAACGAATCTGTAGCCATTTGGAAGTGGTCGAAGAGTCAGTACTGTTTCGGCATTACCGCTATGGGACCCATAGAGGCACCCGTAGATCCGCGGATGGACGTTGCTGTTTACGCGTAACCAAAGGATGGACAGGTCCGAACCTTCAAGACTGCCGAGGCGTCGAGAACAGATGTCCTCTCTGACGTAAACGCAAACTCCAGCCCGAGGCACAAAGGAGTGTTCCAGTTTGTACCCCGGGTAGGAGAGATACGAGACATCAGCCGGAGAGGACACCGGCGTCTCGGTCAGAAAGAGCAGAGCCAGCCTCGCCGTCTCGAGATGGTAGTTGACGGCGTTTAGGTTAGAGTGAAGTCCCCTGATATTGCAGAAACTCACTGATAGCGTGGCAGGGGTCGCCTTGGTCTTCTTGCTCCGTTTGCCCCGAGCAGTTGTAGTCTTGAGCGGAATTTGGCCCCCCCCTCAAGAATACGCGGGGTAGCCTGAGCACCCACGCTCAGGAGTGGAGAAACATGGTCGTGGATGCTCAGCGAGGGATTCTCCAGGAGTACAGGTACCCTCCTGGGGTAGTCTATTATCAACTCCGCTACCATGTTGATGGGGGGGGGATTTGGGCCTCCGGTCACCTGCACTCGCTAGACGAAAAGCGGAAGCAGAGCTTCCACTTCACGCCGGTATTCTGAGAGGTCGTGGTACCACCCCGGTTTGAGCCGGCCCATACGTGCAACAACAAAGTTGTCGCGTGGCTCTACCACTGTTAAAACTGTTGTTTATTGGTGTGAGAATTATCACTAAGGTACGTGAGGATAATATGGTCACATTAAGCTTTTTGGGGGATAAGTCGCTCGCGTCCGTAGGCTTTGACCACCTGTTCCTAGGCCCACCCTACACGTGCCCCCCGGGTGGTGCTAAATGAGCGACAAGCCGATAGCACAGACTCGGCTCCACGCCGTGGTAGCGGCGTAAAATATACTACCCCATATTTCGCACCACGACTGACCAAATAAAGGAAATGGCCCCGAGTTCCCGGCGCCCCTTTAATGGAGCAGGGGTGCGAAGAATCTCCGGGAGGAAAACCGGCGACGAGGTTCGCCACCCGTCACGTTCTGTCTCCCGGAGTGGCGAAAAGTGAATTGCAGAGGCCCGTCTGGCTACGTTGAATGTATGTGGGGCAATGAATGATAAAATGGATGAAGTATGCGATATGATGTATGATAGAGGAATAGATGTGTTATGCGTAAATGAGACGAAAAGGAAGGGGAAGGATGTCACTACACATGGCATGTATACCGCATACTGGTCTGGTGTAGACGAGATCGAGCGGGCATGCCAGGGAGTAGGTATCATCCTTTCAGAAAGAATGGGCCAATGTGTGAAAGAGTATGAATGTGTAAGCCCAAGACTGCTATGGATACGAATGAAAGTGGGCTTAAAGAAGTTGTTCGTGTTAGGGGTCTACGCCCCAGACATCTCTAAGCCCACTTATATCCGAGAGCAATTTTGGGAAATGGTAAGGATGGTGTTAATGAAGTGTAAGGGAAATGAAAATATTATTATGGTAGGAGATTTTAATGGAAGGGTTGGGGTGAAGAGGCTTGGTTATGAAAGGATATTGGGAACGTTTGGTGATGAAAGTATAAATGAGAATTGTGAAAGTCTCCTCACCGTATGTATGGAAAAGAATCTTTTTGTGACGAACACTTGCTTTCGCCACAAGAGGATTCATATGTATACTTGGGAAAGAGGTGACGATAGAAGCATGATAGAATTCATAATTGTGGATGAAAGATTGAGGGGCGCAGTGGTGGATACAAGGGTTTACCGGGGTTTTAACGTAGGAACGGATCATTATTTGGTTTTATGCCGAATTAATGGTCTATTCAGGCGTTGGCGTCATCGGTCATCTGTGTCTACCACTCGTATTAGAACAGAAAGGTTGCAAGATGAAGGTGAGAGAAACAAGTTCAAATGTAGACTGAAAGAAAATATAAGTGGTTTGGATGAATTATGTATGAAGGAGTTAGACTTGGAGAATGTATGGCAAAATGTAAAGAAAGGTTTAGTGCATGCAGCTACCGAAGTATGTGGTGTTAGTAAGAGAAAGAATGAAAGGAAAAATAATACGTTATGGTGGGATGATGAGATACGTATGGAAGTTGAAGCAAAGAAGAGAGCATGGCTAGATTTACTAGCAACAAAGGCTGGTAATTCTAGCGGTACGAATGATGATATTGAAAGAAAAAAGGCGGTCTTTAGACATCTTAATAAGAGAGTAAAAGAAGTAGTTGAAAGAAAAAAGCAAGAAAGAACGGATAAGAATGATAGAAGAATATCGGATAACTTCCAGGCAAATATTAAAATGTTCTGGAAACTGGTAAGAACTGCCAGGGGACGTTCAAAACAGCCTATGATGAATGCTATAAGAGACGAGAATGGCTATATTCTGAATGATGAAGTTTTGAGTTTAAAGAGATGGAAGGAATATTTTGAAAGCGTGTTTATGAGTGAGGAGACAACATGTGTACTAAGTGAAGTAGAAACTCCGAAAGAAGAGGAAAGAGGTAGCGAGATAAGTATAGATGAAATAATGAAAGCAATGAAAAGCTTGAAAGCGGGAAAGGCGCCCGGATATGATAGAGTTTCACTCGAAATGCTAAGGGCTGGAGAGGAGGTGGTGGCAGGCCTGCTGCACACCTTGTTTAAGTTATGCTGGGAACTGAAGCGGGTACCGGTAGACTGGTGCAAAGCCGTGATAGTCCCAGTATATAAAGGAAAAGGGTCGCAGCAGGACTGTAAAAACTACCGCGGCATCAGCCTTCTTGGCATTGTGGGAAAACTGTACGCTAAGGTACTAATTGAAAGGGTCGTGAAAGAAACTGATGGAAAAATTTATGACGTGCAAGCGGGATTTTAGAAAGGGAATGGGATGTAAAGATCAAGTCTTTTCCATGCGCATGATCGCGGAGAAGTTTCTGGCCAAAAACCAAAAGGTTTTTGTGCGTTCATGGACTTGGAAAAGGCCTATGACAGAGTGGATAGGGATTTGATATGGCAAACACTGAACTCATTTGGGTTGAGCGCTGGCTTGATACAAGCATTGGAGTCTCTTTATAGGGACTCTAGTGCTTGTGTTAGGATCAACGGGGTCTACTAGGACTGGTTCATCCATAAAGGTGTCAGACAGGGCTGTGTGACTTCCCCGTGGCTGTTCAACCTATTTATGGACAGTTGTTTGCAAAATTTGAAAGTTGAAGAATGCGGATTAAGAATGGGTGAGTTAACCGTCAAATGCCTTTTGTACGCCGATGATCAAGTCATTCTTGCGTCGTCGGCGGCCGAGTTGCAAATGATGGTTACATTAATGAACGGATCATTAAAAGAAAGTGGTATGAAAGTGAACGCAAGTAAGACGAAGGTTATGGTTTTTGAAAGAGAAGAAAGTAAAACGATTTGTGAAATAAGAATAGAAGGGGAGTTGATCGAGCAAGTAGATGAGTTTGTATATTTGTGCTGCGTATTTAGCAGGGATGGGAGATATGATAAGGATATAGAACGACGAGTGAATGCGGGAAATAGAGTAAATGGGGCTTGCACTCTATTGTGAAGAGTCAAAATGTGTCGAAAAAGGCACGTATGGCAATTCACAATGCTGTGTTGGTCCCTACTTTAACGTATGGTAGTGAAAGTTGGGTGTGGCAGAAGAAGCACGAGAGTAGAATAAACGCAGTAGAAATGCGGTCGTTAAGGAGTATGTTAGGGCTGAATCTGAATGAAGGGGTAAGAAATTGTCCCCTCCGAACGGGTTCCCGCCTTGTCGTGGCGGGGGGCTTAGTAGCCGTGGCTTGGTCTCCCACGGTGAACAAAGAGGAACCCACGTGGCTGGCCCGAGGTGAAGGGCCGGCCTGAGGTGGCCGCTCCGAGTGGGCTTGGGGAGCCCACTTCGGATGTGTGCTGGTGGACTGCAGCGAGTGGGGACTCGCGCACCCTCTACCGCTGCAGCCGAGGTGGAGTCGCGGAGGAAGAGGAGTGTTGGTATGGCGATGCGCCACTCGCCCTATCCTTCGCGACTCAAACGGGACCGCACCGTTGACGCGGTGGTGGTGGGGCTGCGGGGGGAGAGGATTGTCGGTATTGCGAGGCGCCGCTCTCCCTACCCTCCGCAGCCGAATCTTGGTTGGCGGCGGAGCCATAGACCAGATCCGCCGCTGGGGTCGGGAAGGCTAGTACTTCTAAGTGCTCGTTTTTCCTGGCCCCATGGCCTTTGTGCATCGGACGCGGGGGCGTCTGTTGCACAGACGTAGTTGGAGGCCGTGGAGGAAGGCGCGCCATGTGTTCTGGTGCGCCTTACCTGGGAAGGAGAACGGGGAGGAATTTTCCTCTCCCGAGGAGGTGCTGCCATGGGGCGGCAGGCGCTAGTAGGGCCGCGGATGTGTGCGAAAGCGTTCCCGTAGCCCTGCCAATATGCGACAAAGGTGGAACACCATGGGATTTTAGTCGGTGCGAGTCCGACATAACCCGTCCTTGCCCCCGCGAGGCGGGTATGCGTAGGCATTTCCCCATGCAAAAAAAAAAGGTAAGAAATTGTGTAATAAGAGAAGAGTGTGGTTTGCAAGATGATGTTGTGACCAGGATTAAGAAAGGAATGCTTCGGTGGTTTGGTCATGTAGAAAGAATGAATGAGGAAAGAGTGACAAAGAAAATTTATGTTGCAGAAGTGAATGGCAGAGTCGGAAAGGGACGTCCTAGGCGAAAATTTATCGACCAAATTGGCGATTTATCGGAAACGGGCCAAATTAGGAGTACCCTTAAACGACGAGCATGTATGCGTAGGTGTATGGATGTGAAGGAGGCGAGAGAGGTGTGTCAGGATCGTGCCAAATGGAAATCTGTAGTCTCTGCCTACCCCTCTGGGTGACAGGCGTGAGTGTTTATGGATTATGGATTTATGGATTAAGCTTTTCCGCCCTATTAAACCAAAACTGGGACAGAGACAAAAACACAAAGTCGTATACTATAACTAATATTATTGAAGCGACAGTAGCCTAATGGCAGGGCGCGGACCGCGAACTCAAAAAGGTCGTGGGTTCAAATCCACCATTCGACTACTGGCGTGAACCACTCGTAACACAAGCAATTTAAGCTTACCACGAGTGGTTAAGGCGAATATTAGTAATGTTTATAGCGTTGTTAATATTCTTTATTAAAAAAAAAAACATATAAATACCGTAACTAATATATTTAGAAAAAAAAAATTAGCAAACAAGCTTCGCAACAATTAGGAACATTTCGAGAAACCAACCTAGAAAACACTAACCACTACACAGTAACTACACTAAACAATACTATGATCGACTAAAATATTTACTATAATTTCAACTGTTAAAATGGCGTCGATGAAGTAGCGCATTTTTGAGCATTTAATATTTGATTGGCTGATGAAGAGCTATCTTATCACAGAGTTATCTACGTAAACATAGATTACTGTGTGATATGAGCGAGATAGAATATTAAATTAATCAGGTTTAGGCCACATAGTGACTCCTTTCCGACCTTGAGAGTTAATCAATTTTCGTTCGATAAAATGACTATATATAGATGGCGCCATTGCAAAGCAATTTTACTCGAAAGAAAGTATTCTTTTGATTTATTACACTCAAGCGTAGGCTTTACTTGTCTAAAAATAAGGACTGTGACATTGATTTGCTATAAAATTAAAAGTTTACCTTTTATTTTATGCCGCACTTGTAGTTGAAAACTATCGTAGTAAATAAATTATTTGCCGTGATTATTTTATGAAGGTTTTACTTCTACCGCATGTTTTACAGTCAACTTACAGCTGTAAAATCTGCTCCAAAGAAAGCCTGTTGTAGGCCGATGAAAACGTTTATAATAATAAGCATCAATTGATTCGGCTCTACTAACAGCTTCATTGTGACAGCAAGAAGTGCCATGCTTGATAGAACTGAGCTGGATCCGGAGCGCCCATTGTCGTACCTGTTTTATATAAACAGAAATCAAATCAGTTACTAATTAATAAAAATGGATTTCGTAGATATTTGAAGTTCGTCAACACGCATTAGTGCATGTTTTCTTGCCCTAAAACAATCTCACAAATTAGAGGAGGCCTGTGCCCAGCAGTTTAACGTATACAAGCTGTAACTTTAACTAACTTTCTTAAATTAGTTACTTATTGATTAATTAAGTTTTGCAGGCTGACAATTGCCACAGCGACAACTTCAACACAATCTGGAATACTGTTAGCTGTTGTCATGTTGAAAATTTATTTATTAATGTTGTTTTTGCAATGGTTAATGAAAGGAGTGCATTAGTTGTAGGTTTGGATTTTATATTTTCAAGTTGTGAAAAATGTGGCGGAGTGGCGATCAGAGCCACCTACTAAGCCTGTTCAATAACGAAACTTGACCACTGCTATTAGTTATATATTTTATTACTTCGCAAAGATTTTTAATATGCCTTATAAAGGGTAGGGTAGTTCAATAGGTTTTGCCTCATAAAGATTTGCTTATTGTATATTCGCTTAACCTTTTTTAAGTATAATCATACATATATTTTTGTATCACTATTACATGTTGTTAGAAAATTTTAATCTAATTATGTAATATGAAAATATATAAAATGCCTCTATTTTTCATGAAAATACGTATTATTCATGGTAAGGCCAAGCCCCAGCTGTATTATGGTCGACCCTGTGCTTGTTTATCACCCTTATTCTACCTTTTAACACTTTCCGCGTTCCATAAATCATATATAAACATTTCGATTATATAATAAATTGTGTATATTTCGCGGACAGGGACCTGTTAAGTTATACAGCCGTAGATGGCGCGATGAGTTTCACTCCGAACTTACTTCAAAATTTTTACAGTGTAAATATTGATTAATAACTCTCTTTATCCATCGAGTCTATATACGTATAGTAATTTTTATGGCTCTTAAAAATTAATTTTTAATATGAATTATTTTGGACCAAAGATGAATTTGTTATTAACTTGACAACAGCAACAGTTATCGGATCTTAGGATTCCTGGATTTCAACGATAGCACCATTTACCGGGTCCAATTGCGAATCTAAATAACTTTTAAATCAATCTAACCATACCCACAAAATTTCATCAAAATTCGTCCAGCAGTTTGTGAGGAGTTCTCTTACATACACACGGACAGAAGAATTACTATATTTATAGAGAAAATTACATTAAAACCATAAATTGAAAACATTGATTATAATAAATGAAATGTTCTGACTATTTTGTAGTAGCTATATTCGGGGGTGGATTTACATATTTCTTTACACTTTTCCTTACTGAAGTAGAAAATTACCTCTTTATTACCGATAATTTAACAGACTTTTTTGATAATTTAACGAATTTATCTTTCTTCTTAATCATCGCTGTTGCAGATGAACACAGGCATCGCCGGTTGTAAGTTAGATCGTTACGCTTGGTAAGCGAATTGGTGATCGCAAAATCTGAATTTCTTACATCCGTGATGTTACTGTCAGTTGCGGGTCTGGGAATTTTTTGTCTGGCGTAAACGAGATGGCTATACCACAACCTATCGGAGCTTCTGAAATCTTTCTGACATTTCCAATAGCCGCTTTTATTAAGCATTGCTTTATCAAATACTCTACTTTAAAATGGAACATGTTCCATTGTTCCTTACAGTGTGCAACTCAGCCTCTTCTGTCGACAACGATATAATAACTCGTGTTAGCTCTGAGGCTATGCACTTGAAGTAAATTTATCTATATGCGAGCAAAGCTGGCTCAATAAAAGCAAAAGCAGCTCTTAAAATTAAGTTGACAATTTTCAGAGCTGATTTATTGCGTGTACGACGGTGAAGGAAACTATCTTGAGGAAACCTGCATGTCTGATCTAATAAAATATTTTGCCTACGTGTGAAATCCATCAATACGCGCTGGAGCAGCGCGGCGAACGAATGATTATATTTTTTTTTTAAATTTACTCATTCGTTCAAGCTTTACAGACTATCATAAGTCCACTGCTGAACAATGAGGGATGTTTGCCATTGTTTCTACGCTTGGCAGGATAGTTGGTTAGTTTTTGTTTAGTTATTATTAGGAAGACGCTGTTGCCCATCTGCTGAATTGTTACTCCATCCGTCGCCTGCTACATTACCCACGGGAGGTTATGTGGTAGTAGATTTAACCTTACATCTTCACGCCTTCTTACACCGCCAGTCAAAAAAATAACAATCTACACATTGAATAAAACCTATTTTACAAATTTAAATCGCGTTTACTTTAAACATTTTATGTTATTTTTATAAAAATTTTAAGTCATAAATGAAGTAAAACTTAAGGCCCCAGTCTTGTAAATATTAGTGTTCTCGCAAAATTTACAGCAAAACAAATATTTTTTATAGTATTTAAAAAAGAAAAAGTGAAACATATTTTATATTTATTTAAAGTGTAGGATTTGATATTTTGGAAAATATTTTTTAATTTTAATTTGGTGTTTAAATTAATAGCCCTATTAGGCGTTAAACATGTTCATGTTCAGGTTACAAGCGTAAAAGGTCTTATTAAAGCCTCTGCTATGTATAAACTATAAAAATATCAAGAAAGTATTCAGATCACATTTATTTACATAACGTCTACAATAATCTGATCTGGTCACTTTTTTTATAAATGCTTTAATTTTTTTTGTTTGAAGGGCTTAAAATGTTGTAATTTCATGATTTTTTTTTACTGCAAATATCAATTTTTTCTATTAGAAGTATAAATGTAGCAAAGTTGTACTTATAACCACATAAAATTGAACTATTTTCAAGTGAGTTAGAAATAAATAAAATTAAAAAAGTATATATTTTCGTACTTTTTACCTATATGCCATTTATAAACCAGAAACGCCTCAAAATTCTGTCAGTTCCGCTGGGATTTCTCGGCGTTCAGACGTGTACAGTGTTGCTCAACGTTACTTTACCTCTCGCTCGCACGGTTGATCTCTTTCCCTCGCGGAGCTCTTATGGACTGAGCGGAGCATATCGTGAAAGTTGCTATATTTAAATATATATTATTTTTATTTAATTGTCATATTAGTTCTAGTTTTTAGTGTTTATTTTTAAGTTAATAGTTTAGTAGTATTAGATTAATTGACTTGGACTTTTATATTTGGTATGTTTTATATATTTTAAGTTATAATTTATTATCAAAAAAAAAAAAAACGGAAAAAGATGGATAGAAAAAAGAAGAAATATCCTTGTGTCAGTAAAAATAGTAGTAAAAGTAGTAGTAATGTACAAAATGTACAAGGTAGAGGCGAAATTTGTTGTATATATCCTTTTTAAACCTACACCCCGTATAAACATTACTAAAAACGACATTTATGAAACATAAAAGGGTAAAAAATTATATTACCATGACAAAAGTAAAATGAATATTTTTGGAAAAAAAATTAATAAGTTATATATTTAATGAAGTAGAGCACCTTTATATACCACCATATACCTCCGAAGTGGTGGTAGGCCTATTACTTTACTTTTTAAATGTGTATTGTTCAAAATTTATGTCCGATTTATTCCTTAAGAAATCTCATACACATATTTCTTACTGACATCAGATACTTAATCGATCTCTGAAATAGTAGCCGTGGCTTAGGGAATAAGCTCAAATTTACACCTTTTCATGGGATCCACTCCGACTGCGATAATGAGTGCAGCACCAGCCATACACGCTAAGTATATACCTGAAATTGAAATTTTATAAAATAAATTTATATCTATTTCTATTTATATATCTTCCATGGTTAACTTAATTAAATATTCCTTTCACTTTCATCTTTTTAATATTTAATGTTCTTAATATGGAAGAGACGTGGGTAATTAACAAGTAAAGACGCTAGGCTTAAGTTATAGGTGGTAGTAGCAGTTTCATGCTGCTATGTTTACCACTGCTGAAAAAAGTCCTCCTCATAGTTTGCCTCATTAGGCGGACACTTGACATAGCTGCTACGCATTCTTCGGGTTTGCAAACGAAGTTTTTATTTTCTAATTGTTATAGGGATAGGAATAGTTATAGGGAAAACGCTGTTGCCAATCTTAATGTTTGGTCCTTCTGTCAAATTTTACTGTCGTGCAACTGTGCCCACGGGGCGATATGGTCTAGTTAATATTATTATCTTTTTATCTGCACTACTCTAAGGTAGGTATAAAAGTTAAAAAAAAGTTGAAGTTAAAGCCTATATACTCCCACTGCTGACACAGGCTTCCCCCAAAGCGACGCCCACCCCCACATTTTTTGAATTTTTTTTTCTTTTTTCTTAGACATGCAGGTTTCCTCACGATGTTTTCCTTCACCGCCGAGCACGTGGTAAATCAGCACTTAAAATTGCAATTAACAATTTCATTGGTGCTGGCGGGGATCGAACCCGGATTGCTCGCGTACTGTGAAATTTAGAGCGAGCGCTAACCATCTGAGCTACCACGGCTCCTTTACGTAACGTTAAGGTAGGTATACATCAAAGTATATATGAAGTTAAAAATAAATAAATATTCTTGCGCCACTTCACCACACTTACCAGCTATCATTTGAATCTTCTCAGGCGGTTGAGTTTGCAAAGCATCGCGAGCACCGGTGCTAGGTAAAAAGTTAGCGCCACAAAACTCCGGAATCTGAGTGTCGTTTAACGCAGTAACTGCAGCATCGTTGTCGCCCGAAGATAAAACTGGAAAACAGATGGGTATCTGTTTTAATACCTATTTGTACCATACCCATTTGTTGTAAATTTAATACATTTAGTTTTATTGCCGTTTGAATGTAGATTATTAGCGTTAAACCAATGCACTAATTTTGACATAGAATTATTCACTTCGTGGTATTTAAATGATCGACGATTAAGTTTAAAAATCAAGGAAATATCATCAGAAAATAATATTATATCACGATTATCCCCTAAAAGAGAAGGTAAATAATTAATATATACTAAAAATAGGAATGGGCCAAGAATTTACCC